CACCAAATGGAAGAGCCTGTCGCCACACTCATCTAACAAGGTCCATCTTCAAAACTCGATCCTGGAGGACATCCTGTGTAAAGATCTCAACAGTGCTTCCGAGGCGCGTCAGTGGGACCGCGTAGTGGCCATCCTTGACAGCGCCGAGGACATCACGAAGGCTCGCCTATCCTCTCTCCGTCGGAGGAGAGGAGAGCAACGATGATGAGGAGGTAGGACAGGAGGTGGGGGAAGGAGGGAATGAGAACACGCTCGCTCAGGGGAAGCTGAACATCGGGCTCTTGCCAGCTGCGTCGAGGCGTACCTTTCAGGTCGATGCCGTGTCCAAGTTGTATTGGGAATTGCTCAGCCATGACAAAGATGATGGCGTTGACATTCTGAAGGCCGCCGACTCGGCCCTCGCGGGAATACTTCGAGCTCCTCTGCAACCTCCCGAAGGAGATCAGCCTGCCGCCCCGGAACAGGCTGACATATTTGGTGAGCTCGTTCATCTGCGGAAGTTATTGAACCCTTTCGACGCCACTGTCACGATTGATCACATTCAGGGGGCAATTGAGTATTTTCGCTCAACGAAGTCGGCGAAATTGCACAGAGCTCTCATGTACTTCAACACTGGTATCAAAGTGATGACGGCTGCCTGCGACGCTGCAACCCAGAGGAAGGAGGATGCCACGTACGAGTCGATGATCAGTAAGATTGAAGCGGACGCGGAAGCGCTGCCAGATCCTAACACCATTGCCAATCTGACCGACGCAGAAAACATACGCCAGGCTTTCGAGGACGTGTACAGCCGCGTGACGGCCACGAGCGACTGCAGCAAGAACTTCAAGGAAAGGCATGGGCCTACCTTTGACAAAGTCATGGGCGTGATCGGGGCGTTCAACTCGCGTGTGCTTGGCCTCTGTCTTGCGTTTAATGCTACTACGTTCGAACACGCCACTGAGTGGATGAAGATCAACATGAAGATATCTTTAGATACTGATACATGTGATAATATCATGGATACTTCTGCTGTCCGAACTGAAGGGCATCAGGTATTGAAAACGGCCTCCGAAGCTCTTTATACCCCTAATGAAGTTGTAGGTCGTCTTGGAGGCGCATCCGAGGGCGACTTGAAGAAGGCCACTCTGACTTTCACCGAAACCAATAACATGTTCGAGATGATTCAGTCGGTCGTCGATGCACTGTTGACTCCCACTTCGAAGTTCGGGCATGACGACGACAACTATAAGAAGTTCTTCAACTACATGAACGAGCCCCCAGATGCATTGTTCGCTTATCGGCAGTTCGCAGGCTTTCAAAAGCATGTGCTTTCCATCATGTGCTCTCACTTTACAAACTTGGTCCGGGCAGACCTGATGATCGACAAGGTGTGCTGGGACATCGTTTATGCTTTTGGCGTTGGCACCCGCACGGCGATCTCCGAGTGCCTGCAAAGCCTTCCGCAGGACGGGTCTACTTCAAGTTCCCCTCTGGGCATTCGTGCTGGGACCCTCAGCGCGGAGGCCTGAGAGGGAAATTTGATGAGACACCTGGGAAGGACTACAAGGCCCCGTCCAACCTCGCTTCTATGATTCAGACCGGGCAGAAACTGCTTCAACTGATGCCGTTGGAGTGGACGCACCAGGAGGACACGACTTTGGCACCCGAGGGCAACAAGGTCCACAGGGACAAACGAGCTAGTAGCGAGTTCAGTCTCGAGTAGAAGGGAGGGGGTAGGGTAGACATTCGAGGGCACGAAGGGCTCCGAAGGCACGAGGGGTTCCTGAGGGCACGAGGGGCTCCTGAGGGCACGAGGGTGTTTTCATGTGGTCTTGGGTCGTTTGTCGGGGGTGGGGGTGGGAAATAATGAGCTTCCGATCCCAAGATGCCTATGTGGGCGGTTTGCTTCGGCCCTCGCATCGTGAAGTTGGCTACTGCGTTCCGTTTGGCGGCGGATGCTGGCAGTGTCCCGACGCCGTACGACGTGCCCAATGTCGTTCGCGCTCTGGGTGTCTTGGATGATCTTCACGCCGAACTCAATGGATTCAAAGCTGACTGCGACGGCCTGATGGAGGTGGCCGACGAGAAATCCCCCAAAACTACAGTTTACCAGGACAAGGCCTCGCTGACAACGATGTCGGCGGTGGTGCAGCAGGGTGCCGATCTCCTCATGGCAGATCACGCCGAGGCTCTGATCCTTGCCCTCGAGGAGACGTCGGGGGCGATCAACGAGCTCGTCACCGAGTCTGCTCTCAAGGACGTCACGGGCAACATCGAGGCCCTCGGTGATAAGTTGGGTGCGACAGGCGTCTTCGAACCGTTCATTCAGTATGCATCGTCGGATGACAGCAAGTCCCTGCACGAGTCATGCAAGAGGTTCGAGAGTTTCAAGCCAGTGAAGGACCACTTCGCGACCGTTGGCAGCCGCCTTTCTCTGGAGCAGGCGCAGCAGATCTCTGACATAGGTGCCTTGAGCCAAACACGCCTATCACCCCTTGCCCCCGGGATAAGGATGGGGGGATGGGGGGATGGCCAGGAGGAGAAGGAGGATAGGGGAGGATAGGATGAATAGGAGCAGGAGGAGGAGGAGGAGGAAAAGTAGGACGAGTAGGAAGAGGAGCGAAGGAGGAAGACGAGGATGAGGAGAAGGTTTTTTATTTGACATCCACGGCCACGAACCCAATGACATAGCGGCAACACGTTGGGAGGAGAAGGAGGAGGAGGGAGAGGAGGAGGAAAGGAAAGGCGCCGGCCCAGGTGGACCTGAGTGCCAGCATAGCGCTGGCCGCGACCTCAACGTGCTCTTGGCGTGCCTGCAAGTCTTGGGTCGTGATCTGAAGCCGGGGGAGACCAGGCCAATGTTGGCCCGCCGCGCCCGCTCCATGAAAACAGCGAAGAGAGCCACGCTGCCCGCGAATCTGGATTCGCATCTTGACAGTGTTGCTTCTGAGATGGACAACGCTGTGAAGCCGGACGGCTCCGCTGGAAAAGCCGAAGCCCCTCCCACTACGGGCGGAAAGAGCTCGTCTGTGCCCCCTGCTGTGCCCCCCCCTGAGCCTGCGCCCAAGCCCAAGGCAGCTGCTGCCTCCAGGAGGGGCCAGAAGAGGGGGCCGCCTGTGCTCGTGCAGGCTCCTGTTGCTGATGAGGGCGCTGGCATCCTAGATGCCAAATCCCGTTGCGCCACTGCGCTAGGAGCGCCGCGCCAGAGGCGCGGCGGCCGCAGCGCAGCGCCTGCAGACCAGGACTAGGTTGCCTTTCTTTCAGAGCCACAATGGGCGGTTGGCCCCCACCGCATTGCACGATGTACACATAATTTGTTCGCTGCCGCGACTCGTTCGTGCTGCGGGCTTGGCCAGGCAACGCCCAACTGCGCTATCACCGCCGTCGAAGACTGGTGTAGCAGCTTCGCTGCGAAGGTGGCATTGGGGATGTGCCACTGGGCGCCCTCGGCGCCCTGTGCTACGTGACCGTTCGTCGACGACGACGCTAGCTTTTGAGCACGAAGTCAAAAACATCATGTACCTCCTCCTACTCCCTCTCCCGGGCCTCTCTCCTCATCGTTCTTCATCCTTCATCTTCAGCTCGCTCTTGCCTGCGTCTACGGCCGCAGAGAGCAGCAAGCCTTCGAGGAGAGACTGGGAGGCGTCGGCGCGCCCAACCGGGTCGAGATGTCTCTGTCTTGGCACGAAGAGGAAGAGGAGGAAGAGGAGGAGGAGGAGGAGGACGAGGAGGAGGATGGCTAGGAGGAGGAGGGGGGGAGGAGGAGAAGGAGGAGGAGGAGGAGGACGGGGAGGAGGAGGAAGAGGAGGCCTCTTTGACCCATTCCGCCCCCTACCATAGTCGAGTCGCTTCGCGCAAGCTTGCTTGATGTCTTGGGCCAGGGGCCAGGGCGTCTAGGTCGGGCTCTTGAGGTGGCCGCCTCTTCTGGGCCTGGGGCCATTGAAGGCATTGCGTCGGGTTTCTGGAGACCTTGGGCGATCTTTTGTGGGATCAATCATGGTAACCACCTTGCGTGCGACCGCGAAGCACGCGACGTAACCCACCGAAAGAGCGCGTCATATAGGTTTGTGAGTACGCGCGTATATCAGGGCAAAGCACCGCACATATAGTCAACAACTACGCTTTTTCAGCGCCAACAGCGTTTTCCACGATGCTTTTTTCCACGCCAGAAAAGTTGTCCACAATTGTTGTTTTCATGCCGAGAAAGTTTTCCACAATGGCGGTTTGCACGCCAAAAAGTTTTCCACAATGATCGTTCTTACAAGACGGGAATTTTCCACATTAGACCTTGGGGCCACGGAGTATTGCCACGAAAATTAGTTTAAAAAACATGGCAGTGACCCTGCCAAGATATGGACGTTCTGGAAGCGGCCAACTCTCAAGGTTGAACGATCCCCGCGGTGTCAGAAACCAACGCCGACGCCGGCACGACGCGAGCTTGACGCATGCGTATGTCGCCGTCTGGCTCTCCACTGGAGATCTAGGAGGGGGCTGGGCGAGAGGCGGCCTTGCGAGAAGACCGCTCCCTCGAACCCTCTCCCTCGGGGGTGGGGGGCGGCGGGCCCTTTGGAGCGGGCCCGTGCCTCGGAGAGGAGGCCGACCCGTTCGCTGTGCCCCCTCGATATGTGGGTTCCTCCTTTCCCTTCTCCCTCATTCGCGCTCCTCCTCCTCCTTCCTCCTCCTCCTCCTCCTCCTCCTCCTCCCTCCTCCTCCTCCTCCTCCTCCTCCTTCCTCCTCCTCCTCCTCTTCCTCCTCCTCCTCCTCCTCCTCTCCTCCTCCTCCCTCCCCTCCCTCCTCCGTCCTCCTCCTCCTCCTCCTCCTCCTCTCCTCCCCCTCCTCCTCCTCCTCTCCTCTCCTCCTCCTCCTCCCTCCTCCTCCTCCTCCTCCTCCTCCTCCTCCTCCCCCTCCCTCCTCCTCCTCCCCCTCCCTCCTCCTCCCTTTCCCCGCCTCCTCTCTCCTCCTCCATCTCCTACTTCCTCCTCCTCTCTCCTACTTTCTCCTCCCACCTTCCGCCAGAGGACATGGATAACTATGGCGGGGGTGACGTCGGCAAGAATGGAGAGCTCGGCCCGTTCGGCGACGCTATCAAGGACTTCCGCTGGTCGGAGTTCGGCATCGCGGTCGCCAACCCCGCTGTGCTGCTGGTGTCGATCGTGCTCTTCGGTAGCCTGCAAGAGTACGGGCCGTTCCGCAGCTCTAGCTACGAGGTGGACCCGTGCAAGCGGGAGGCGTCTGTGGTGCAGCAGAAGTTCTTCGGCCAGACCGACTGCAGGAGCGCGGAGAGGGCATCCACCGCCGAATGCTTGGCGTGCAAGGCTCGGAACGATGTCTCGCCGTGATGGCCCGCCGCGGCGTGAGGCTGAGAGCGGCAGGCGAACATGCGCGAGACTCTGCCTGCACAGTCACCACGCGGCACTTCTGGGCATCATCCAGGAGACCATCGAGGTATGTATCCACGGGTCCGCTGCCCCGTTTTCCCCCGTGGTCCCCGCTTGTGATCCCCGACTGGCCTTCGCTCGCGGTGCTTGCATTAAGTCGGGCCTGTCCCTCTACAGGAGGAATATTCGAAAATAGTCAAACAATAGCCCAGGGACGATTTTTTGTTTTTTTCTTGGAGTATTGTTTGAGTACATTTGTTTTGTCTTTCGTCCAACTTCCCCCTGTGGGGGGACAGGCCCGACCTACTGCTTGCGCGCGGTCGTTGCTTGCCGCTCGTGCCCGCGGCCCACGCGGCCTGTCCCTGGCTCGCGGCCCGTGGCTGCCGCCTCGGCCTGCAGCCCCTGCGCGCGGCATGTGCTTGCCACACCTGGCGCGTGGCCGGCGCGAGCGGCACCAGGGAGCTCCACGGGCGAGTGGGCGCGCGCAGAGGCGCGCGGAGGCCAACAGCGTGAAGCAGCGGCAGGTGCGAGCGGGCACAGTGGGGACGCTCTGGAGGCAGATCCAGTTCTGCCCGCATCTGGGCGGCGGCAGCGACGACGATGCTCACGACGACGCTGGGGGCGATGGCGACGACGACGATGCTTATAGTGGTGAAGATGACGGTGGTGAAAATGACGGGCAAAGGCGGGGGCGCGGAGGCCATCGGGCCAATTCCTGCGTCTCCGCCGTGGTCGCCGACCTTTTCGTATTCTCGACAGCTGGCAAGCGGATGCGGATGCGGATGTTGGTGCGGAGGCGGAGGCGGAGGCGGAGGCGGAGGAGGAGGCGGAGGAGAAGGAGGAGGAGGAGGAGGAGGCGGAGGAGGAGGAGGAGAGGGAGGAGGAGGGAGGAGGAGGAGGGAGGAGGAGCAGAGGAGGAGGAGGAGGAGGAGGAGGAGGAGAGAGGGAGGAGGAGGAGGAGGAGGAGGAGGAGGGGAAGCTGCCGCAGGCGCTGCATGGCTGTTGCGTTGCCTCTCGGGGCTTCTCCTGGGTTTGAGCCGGTGGTGCGGTGCAGCCGAAACGTGGCCATCAGGTCTTAGATCTCCGGCGATGAGATTTGATGAGCCAGAGATTTTTCCTACGTGGACTTCGGCCTCTTGTTTTTTTGCAGGCCCGGGACCACCAGAAGCGGATCAGGGATGCGCTTCGCCCATGGAAGCTCTTGACAGCTCCGCGGGAGGCGCTGGGAGATCTCCCTGGGGCGTTCTTTGGGGACAGGATTTTGGGGTAATCATCTCCAGGATCTTTTCCCAGGTTCTGGTGTATCGCCGGGCTGTCTGGGGCGCGGCCTGGTGGGAGCCGCGTGCGACCTGCGCGCCAGCCCGGCAAGCACACACAATTAATCGTCGATTTCCCAGAAAATATGGGAAAATATGGGAAGTGGGGGGGAAGACAGAAACCCAGAAAATATGGAAAAATATAGGGGATATTTTTATTTGTGTGTATTTATTTGTGTGTCCTGGGGCCCCTTCACTGGTGGGAGCCACATGCGACCTGCGCGCCAGCCCGGCAAGCACCCTGCCTGCCCGCGCACGGCCCTGGGAGAAGGCCGCCCCTGGAGCTGCGCAGGCGCCTCCGGCACGCACTGCGCGGGCGCCGTTTGCGAAGGGCGGCGAGGCACGCCGACGTCGCCAGCGACTCGCGGGGGAGCGCAGGGCGCGTTTCGATTCCTCCGACTCGATTCGATTCGACTCCGATGGATTCCGATTCCGATTCGATTCGATTTCGGACTCCGATTTGGGGTCCGATTTCTTATTGGAGGCATACTAGCCTGCCGATTTCTGCCGATTCGATGTTTCCCGACTTGGCTTCCGATTTTCGCCGATCCGACTCATTTCGATCGCCGATCCGACTTATCGATTCGACTCTGGGTTCTCCTGGGGAGCGTGTCCTGGGACCCAGGTCGAGGGAGGAGGGATCGAAGGAGCAACATCGCCATAGACTTCAACTTTTGGCGCTCCGCGCGGGTTTCTTGCACACGCCCTTTTCCTCTCTGACAGCGCCTCTGGCGCCGCCCCTGGCGCGCTCTGCGTGCCCAGAGTGTGGCGTCCAGCGCAGATCCAAGAAACCCGCGCGGAGCGCCAACAATTTGTGTTTACGCAGTTTTTTCTCATTTTCAACTTGCTGGGGAGCGTATCCTGGGAGCCAGGAGGAACAACCACCCTGACCCGACGACTGGCGTTCGCTAAATCGGCGCCATCCCAACACATCAAAATACTATGTGTGCGTCGCCCCAGAGGGGCGACGCGCGCACCGAGAAATCTTCTGGTATGTGCGTCGTGGCGGGCGCTTTCTGGCCACACCGCTTGGGAAACGATATGCTACAAGATGGGTATGCTATATGTCCGGGTCGGACGCGCGCCTCCAAGGAGAACATCTAGTACTAGTATGTCTCTCTTCGGCCCACTAAACGGCCCTGGGCGTTTAGTGATCGTTTCCTTATACATTGTTTTGCCGATCGGCGCGGGTCCTCGCACCCCCCCTTCCCCCATGGAGATCTTGGCTGTTTTGGGCGCCTGTTTCAAGCAGGCGGAGTCTCCCCCACATGATGAATTTTAGCAAACAGTCGCATTAAGCAGAGGTCCAGAGCCAGACCCCCTCCTCCTCCTGCCCTTCTGCTCAATGTCGAAACGCCGAATAAGAAACGCTCGCTTGCTGAAACAGCCCTGCCCTGTTCGATTCCTCACTTGGGTGCGTGAACTACACGGCTTCGCTTGTCGGGTGACCAGTCTGGTCTCTACCAGGGGTGTCCCAAGGTACGGGGCCCACGAGGCCGCCCCGGAGGCCGTACTGGGCCGCTCTGAGTCGCCCTGGCGCTGTGCTGGGGCGCGCCCGGGGGCGCCACCGTGGACTCATTGGATCTCGGCGGTGCCGTCTGCTCTGATCAGCACGGGAGTGGTCAACGTCGGCGGCGAGCCCGGGGGGGGGAAGTGAGAAGGGTCGGGTCTTCTCATACACCAGGCATCCCAAATGGGGTCTGAGTAGATGGGGTCGTGGGATCGCGCCGCATCGCCGATGCATCGCCGATGCAGCTCGATGTGGAGCCCGAGTTTCTCCACGCCGACGGCGCCGATGCATCGCCGATGCATCGCCGATGCATCGCCGATGCATCGCCGATGCGGCGCGATTCTCCGACCCCATCTACTCGGACCCCATCTAGGAAGCCCCTACAGACGGCCAGGAAGTCTCCCGACCTTCTGAGACATTTTTTAAGCATTCCCCGATGACGCAAGAACCTTCTCAGAAGGCCAGAGGGCTTCTGAGAAGTCCCGCCGCCTTCTGAGAAGACCTCCTCCTTCTCATTTCCCCTCCTCGCGCACCGCCGACCAAGGGGTGGTTCTAAGCGGGAGGTCAAGTATGACGTGTCTGGCCGTACCTGGCCTAGGGGCGCGGTGCAGGTGCTTTCAGTGGCTCCGGGGAGGCACCTCTGCTGATGGACGGAACCTACTCAATTACCTTGGGTCTGGATTCCCCCGAGCCGCCAGGACTGGGGAGTTGTGACCAACTTTAGCTTCCACGTATTTAACCGTAAGTCGGGCCTGTCCCTCTACAGGAGGGGTATTCAAACATAGTAAACAAATTGTCCAGGGACGATTTTGTTATCATGTTTGTTGACCAACCCGGAGTACTTCTGGGGTATTTGTTGTATCTTTCGCCCGAGATCCCCCTGTCAGGGGACAGGCCCAGATCAAATTCGACCCCCGATCTTCTTGACGGCCCCCGCGCTGAGCCAAGCGGGGAGGCCCGGCGGCCGGCCCGAGGCCTATCGTGGAGGCAGCTGTCGGCCTGGCCAGATGGCAGAGAGAGCCGCGCCGCTCTCTTCAGCAGCACTCTTTGCGGCCGTCGGCGCGCTGCCGGCGGAGCAGCACCCGAAGATCGAGCAGTCGCGACGCGTCCTGGCGCGCCTGTAGCCACACCAAGCAGTGCTCTAAGAACCTTTTGTGGTTTCCACGAACTGTTCTCAGAACATTTCTGGCCGGGGCTGTCTTGTTTCAGCACCTCGGGCTTATGCTCTAAGAACCTCGTTTTTTGTTCTTAGAGCATGTTTCGGTTCTAAGAACATTTCGTGGTAGGACTCTAGGAATGCCGGGACGGTCGGTCCCTGCTCAAGAAGAGGGACTTCTTGAGGACGCCGCAGCAAATCCCACGCGTGAGTTGCACTTCTTGGCAGCGGGTTTATCTCTGCAGTTTGCGGTTCTCGCGCTGAATGGGCACGGTAAGGCCTCTGTAGCCGCCAGCTTCCTGGGTACGTCGGAGTTCAGATGGCATGCGCGCTCAACATTGTCACTGTTCGAGATCCGAAGGAGGACGTCATTCAGACCCTTGTTGCATTCAATCCCCGCCCCACTCCAGCTACTTTTGCAGACTCGCGGCAGAAAGTCCGTCCCCTGGTCGGCCAGGCCTTGGCATTGCCCTGGTGGTAGGTCCGCCCCAGCCAAGCCGACTCTGATCCATGGCGACGCCCTGTGTTGCACACACGGTTGGCAGAGCTGTGGTGGTTGGCAGGCCGGCGTGACACCTGGCGGCTTCGCCGCGGTGGCGGCGCAGCTCGGCGCGGCACTCTGAGTGGAAGCCTGAGTCGCAGCAGGGTTCTCATGTGGGCGTGTTCCTGCTCACTGCCCCTACCATCTTTCTGTGTCTTTCAGTGTGTTGGCGGCTGATGTGCGACTGTGTCTGGCGGCGGATGTGGCGACTGTGTCTTCGTGTGCTTCGCGCTTCGATTGCTGAACACGTCCGCGAAACTCACGCGGTGTCGATTCCCATGTGTTCCTGGCGCGGTGTTGGCATTTTCTGAGCGTGCTGGCGGCGGGTGTGGCGACTGCGTCTTCCTGTACTTCGCGCTTTGATTGCTGAACGCGTCCGCGAATCTCACGAGGTGTCGATTCCAATGTGTTCCTGGCGCGCTAAGCTGGGACCCGGGAGCATGCAGTCGAAGCTGACAAAGAGGAGGGGCCGGGCTCCTCCGTGCGACGGAACGAGGGCCGCGCTTGAAGCGCAGTTTGGGGACAGGTGGTGTCAGGCTCGCTCTCACGGCGTGGTGCGCTGGTGCTTTCCTGACTTGCCTAGCTGGTTCTTGCGGTCCGGGGTGGCTTGTCTCGTCTGCGCGAGCGCCGCGATGCCCCTTTCGCGCCGTGACACGGCAGCGCCCCGAGGGGTGGCGTTGCTGCTGCTGCGCGTGGCGTTGCGCCGTCGTTGTGCCCGCCGTTTTGTTTGTGGCGCTGGTGTGCGCTCGCGTTGTGCTGCTGGTCGTGTTGGTCGCCATCGTGCTCGCCACGGTGCTGCCGCTGCTTGCCGTCGTGGTGGATGAGCGGCTGCTTGTCCCGGCTGGGTCGCTGCTCGTAGTGCTGCTCATGGTAGCCTGGATGTTCACTAGTGGCGCCGCTGCTGGCAGTCACTGCTTTAGTCGTTGTGATTATGTTTGTTGCGCCGATGCTGCCGCACTTGGTACTGCTGGTTGCAGCCGTGGTCTTCACAGTGGTGGTGGTGCTGCTGCATCTGACCGATGTCGCTGTGCGCGCTGTGGCTCTTTTCGTTGCGCGCTCGCGTTGTTGCGCATCGTGGTGTTGGTTGCCGTTCAAAGGACTCCCAACGCAGCTGCAGTTGGGTGTGGCCGAGGTGGTCGCTGCAGTGTAGTTCGCTTTGCCTGCGTTGCTGCGCGTGGTATTGCTGGTCGCCGTCGCGGAGCTCTCTGTACTTCTAGTGGTGCTGCCGCGCATAGTGTCTGCTGGTCGCCATCGTGGTGCCGTGGGGGTCCGCTGTTGACTCCGTCGTCGTGGGCTCAGCGCTGCTTTACGTAGCGCTCGTGTCGCGCGTCGTGGTGCTAGTCACCCTCGCGGCGCTCGCCACGTTGCTGTTTCTGGTTGCGTCTCTTATCCTTGTATTGCTGGTCGCCATCGTGGTGCTCGTTGTGGTGGTGTTGCTGGAGGGTCGGTGCTGCGTTGTTGCTGTGGCTCAGCTGGTCGCAGCCGTGGTGCTCGCCATGGCAGTGCGGGTGTTGAAGCTGAGCTGCGTCTTGTGGTTGTTGTAGT